AGCCTAAAACCTGTTAAACTGTATCAAGCAAAGCTCAACAAACAAATCCAAAACTAAATAACCTATTCAAACCTGTAAAACTGCCTCCAAAACAGAAATACGAGCAAACCTGCAAAACTGCAAGTTTAAGAAACTTACAGCCTACCTTCCCAAAAGCTCAAACAACAAACCTACAAAACTACCTCCAACTCAACCTGCATAACTACAAGCTAAAACACCAAGCTAAGCCTCCCAAATCACAAACAAGAGAAACAAAGGAGCAAAAGTCTCAGAACATACATTCATCATCAGTAGAAATCAAGCTCAGTTCAAAACAGAAGCTTTCAGGATAAAGTTTCATCATCAAACAATCTAGCAAACTCAAAGCCAGATCAACAACAATAGCTAATCTCAGAAAATCATTTCATCATCTAATATCCAACACCCAAAGAAAGGATGAGTTTTAGAAATAAAACAAAGAGTTTCAGAAGGAAGTTTCATCATCAACAAATCATCCACCAAGTCAACAACAAGCAAATCTCATAAAATCATCATCATTGACAAAACCAAAGAGAGGAAAAGTGTATAAGCAAAATCAGAACAAACAAGTTCATCATCTGTCAAGCATTCAGAAGCAAGGGTTCTCAGAGCAAAATCATCATCAAACCTTCAAAGAGGAAAGGAAATATAGAAATACCAGGAATGCCGTCATTATCACGCTTTCCCTCCGCTCCGGCCACCGAGAGCACCGCCGTTCCAACCCTCCATCGCCTTACAGAACAAAACGCTCAAGGTATGTCTTTCAAACTCATACTACATGTAAGCATCAAGGAAATCATGGATCAAAACGTGCATATAACATTCAAGTTAATTGAAAACGTAACTGTAAAAAACACGTTTAAGGACGAAAGGAAACAATACCTTCTCAACCATCGCCTTGGACAGTCGTGGAGAGAAGAGGGCGGAGGCAATGCTCTGGCGGCTGGAAGGTTGAAGAAATAATCAGAGCTTCGCCTGAGAAATGAGGAAGAGAGACGAAGAAGACGAGAGGAGCGACGCTGTTGTACAAAACTGAAAACCCTAATTTCTAACAAAAATGAATTAACCCTAAATTTGTTCAACCTTCCATATGGGCCTTCGCCCAAACAAAACCAGCAAGCCCAATATTTCTACTGGACACCCCCCCCTCCTCTTTAATCCAGTTTTTTTTTTGTTTTTTACTTGGGCCATATACTAACTCCTTAGGCCCATCTTTTTTCCCTTTCAATTTTTTAAATTAATATTCAAACTTTTCTTTTACTAATTAATTTTCTTTGAACCAATACTCTTCCTTTTTTATTGTTCTATTCTAAAAGTTTTGTTTTGTTAATAAAAAAAAGAAATAATAAATTAAAGTTTGTTTTGATATATTTTCTTTAATATTTGTATATTTAATTAAATATAAAAGAATACTATGTTTAATTAATCTTTTTATATAAGTTCCTAAAACACATAAAACGCCAATAAAAAATAATAATTATACTTAATCTTTCTTAGGTTAAAATATTTTATTTGATCATTTGTAAATAAATATACGCATCTCATATTTTCTTTGATTTTTATTATCTTATACTTTGTTATAATTTTACATTGAAAATGCGACAATTTGATTTGGTTGTAATATATACTTGGACATTACTATTCTGATAAGACTCATCCCCATTTGTAAACATTTGTACCCCCATCCCGGGATACTTACTTGTAATAACTTAGACTTTAAATTCCCGCAATTTATCGCTTTCCATATACTGTATAGTAATTAGGGTTTGTATGCGAAGATTCAAAATCAATCGCTAGATGACCTAATACAAGATAAATGCATGAAAATCAATACACAATTCACACTTGCACCTCTAGGGTAACCTCGCTTGTTGCCTCGGAAAATGCGATCATGTCCCTCGAGTATGAGACGCTCTAGAAAATGTCCCTTCAATAAACAAAGATCGTAGTCCCTCGATGACCCTCGATGTTGCCTTCGATAAAATGATCTCGTCCCTTACAAAATTGCTAGAGCGTCTCACAAGTTGCCTTCAATGATTGTATGCGATGACCCGCGCCTGTCCCGTTTAACATCCTAACACAAGGTTGTTCACCAAATACAATGGTGAAGCAACACTGTTAAAAGGGTTAAAAACATAAGAAAAATCTTTGAGTAAAATAGGGTAGACAACTCTTAGTTACTTGATCAAAAATCTTGCAAAAAATCCTTGCTCTTTTTCAAATACACTTCACAACACAACTTCAAAACAATTTCAAAACAACTTTCAAAACATTGAATTATCTTTTCAAAAAGACACACACCTTTGTATATATTCAAACAAGAATCATTACAAAGGTTGCATAGACAAGGCATCTTTTTCAAAACATTTTCAAAACCACACACACAAAGCACCATTTCAAACAATTGAAAAGCAAAGGCAAGTGATCTAAAACAAGTAACTAAGAGCCCATGGAAAACCATGGATGAAAAGGGTGCTAGCACCTTCCCTTTTCATAATCTACCCCCCGAACCCAAGAAAACATCTCAAAGGTCTTTCCTGTGCTTTTTGACCTTTCCTTTAGATAAAATAAAAAAGTTTGTGGCGACTCTTGCTAAACCGAACAAGTGCGAACACAAACGCAAAATTCCAAGTCAGTTCTCCCACCGTATCACAACTATTCTCCTTATTCCTCTTTTCTGCACTTCTCACGACCAATTTTTCCAACAACTTCTCAATAACCCTATTCTTTATTTTAAATAGAACCCCATAATATTATTATTCTTAATGGGCTTAATAATACACCCCCTATATTTCTATTTCCAACCATTAAAATTAGGCCCAACATAATTATTCTATTATTCTTCTAATTCTAGTATTATTACTACTATTAATCAACTAATTAATTAACTAGTAATAATCTAGCAACTTATACCAACAATTTACAACATCTCACAACTTCAACGAATAATTCGAAAATAATTTAATTAAATAATTAATTAAATTAACGGGCGTTACAATCCCTAAGTCCAAAGTCTCTTACCCAATCAACTATATATGTTGATAGATCGACAAGATATCAGTGGCATGGTCATATCGGGCCTGCTGATTCTCCAAGATCTCCTTATGAGGTGGCCTAGATGGACGTCCAGGAGCATCCGATGTCATAATAGGGTGTGACACTGTGTAGAACCATGTGACGTATCCCTCTACACAATGCTAACTGCTGGATGCATGCATCATCCGAGCCTCTTCTAGCACCATATGATTCTCCTAATCCTGGAAGATGCCATCGAGCTCCCGACAAACAATGGTGTCAGGAGCAACATGAAAGGGATATCTGAGTATGGTATGCACATAGCCAAACTGTCGGATGCATCACTCTGAAAGATACCTGACTATAGTGTTGGTCTCACATGCAAGCCACCCCGAGTATAATGAGATAAAGTCGAATGGGAAAATCTCCCTGTGATCCTCAAAAGGCATCCAGATGATGTCATCATGAATAATCCGATTAAGATACACCTGGAACGATGACACAACATGATTGCTTATGTGGGGCTATTTTTGGCAGCCCTTGGCATGTCCTAAGTATAATCCAGATCATAATCGAAACCATAAATGCAGTGGAAGTGAGAAATGATCCATCCTCGAACACGCCTGTAATTAAATTTTGGGGTTAATTCGGATATGCATATCCGAAAACCCCCTAATATATAATAAAGTTGATTTGGACATGCATATCTGAATCTACCCCCTTTAAATATGTTACATGGTGAGTTCAGATATGTATATCCGAATTCAGAAAGTATAATGGAAATTTTGCCATAAGCCTCTAAAAAGACATAAGGGTGGATAAAAAAATCTCCAATAAATTATGTATATTACTTTTTTTTTATTTTAAATTTCTACCCTTTGATTGCCATTGGTTCCATTTACCGACCAATTTCCACCTTCTTGTCGTGGTAGTGGACGATATCACTCTTCACTCATCTCTATTTAGGGGTGTTCGTGATACGGTTTAGGCGGTTTTGACGTAAAAAATCATCCAAACCACAAGAGAAAAAAGTGTGTGGTTCAGTTCGGTTTGGTTGACTTTTAAAAATAAAACCGAACCAAACTAAACCAAACCAAAGCAATGTGGTATGGATTAGTTCGGTTGGTTTAGTTTTTTATAAAAAAATATTGAATCATACATACACATGACATATAAATGACAACATAATTTTATATTTAGTCATTTATGTGTTATCAAATAACAACAAAATTCTTCATATTTGGATAACAACTTTGAATTTAATATACATAAATAAGATTAGAGAAAAGTGGAACAAAAACTTAAAATAGTAGCATAAAAAATATCAAAAACATTATAATGAAATAAAAAATAAAGAAGATAAAAGATTAGAGAAGATAAAAAGGAAAGAGCAGATGAGATGAGAGATTAGAGAAGAAGACATGTATTTAAAATATAATTGAAAGAGAGAACAATAAAATAAATATAATAATATGAAAAAGAAAGAAAATAAAAGATTAAAGACTAAAGAAGCAGAAAAGAGATGTACTTGAAAAAAGGAAGATGGGAAGAAGGCGCAATACCACTATGAAAGATTTGAGAAGACTTAAACTAAAACTTTAAATATGAGGAAGAAAAAATCATTCCTAATCATAATAGAATTGAGTTTGGGTTGGATGTTGATTAAGGGAAGTTTGAATTATAATATAATGCGGTTTAGTTTGGCTTATAAAAATGAGGCAAACACATTCAAAACAAATGCGATTTTTACGGTTTCAATTTGATTTAATTTTTAATTTTACGATTTTATATTAAACCGATACGGTTTTGAACACCCCTGCCATTACTACTAGTATTTCTCTCTCTAAATTCTCATATAGTACTCTGCTTTAGTTTTTCACCCTAGATATTATATTTGGAGTCTGTCTCCTTAACCACTTGGTTTGATAAAAAATTGACATACAATATTAAAGCTTTGATTTAGAGTAATGGGTGGCAAAAACAAGAAGAGAAAGAGAGAAGAAAAGCGAGGCACGATTCACCCCAACAACAAGTACTCTGAAAACCCACCTGATTTTCCTCATTTAGCTTCTCTCTACCCATCCTTCCAACCTTTTCTCCAATACTCTCATAACGGACACCCTAGAATCGATTGGACCGATTTCAACGCCACTCGCGAACTCACCCGTATCCTACTCCTCCATGATCACTCTCTTAACTGGTAATTTATTCTTCATTTTATATCATTTTCTGATTCTTAACTTCTAAATCTGTGTATTTGCATTTTACTAGGTGGATTCCTGATGGCCAACTCTGTCCCACTGTACCAAATAGGTCTAATTACATTCACTGGCTTCAAGATCTTCTCTCATCTAACATCATTGTTCCAGACACCATTTCATCTGCTGATCATAGTAAGGTTAGAGGATTTGATATAGGAACTGGAGCCAATTGTATTTATCCACTTCTTGGTTCATCCCTTTTCGGATGGACTTTTGTAGCCTCAGGTGTGTGTGTTTTTCTACTTTTTGTCTTGTGCCTGCTGTGAAAATGTAATCCAAATTGGATTTTATTTTTTTTTTTTATGTTTGATTAATTGGGTGCAGATGTAACTGATGTTGCAATTCAGTGGGCGGAGATAAATGTTAATAGTAATCCACATGTTTCTGAGTTGATTGAAATTAGGAGGGTACAATGCAATGCAACTACTTCCGGGTTGTTGCAGGATGAAGAGCCCGTACTTAGTGCCACGGAGGTAGAGAATTTACCGAAGTTGCCTCTTGATTTGAATGCGTGTGAGCATAACAGTTATCGTGGACCTCCCATACTTGTTGGTGTAGTCAGGGAGGATGAGAAGTTTGATTTTTGTATGTGTAATCCTCCGTTTTTTGAAAGCTTGGAGGAAGCTGGACTTAATCCCAAAACTGCTTGTGGTGGCACTTCTCAAGAAATGGTTTGCTTTGGTGGTGAGAAGGCCTTCATTACTCGCATTATTGAAGATAGCACTCAACTCAAGCATAATTTTAGGTGTAGTTTTTATTTATTTTTTATATGGGTAGCGTTTCTGCTTCTCATGTTTATGTGTGGATATTGATTTGTATTATTTCAATGTGTTCATAGGTGGTTCACTTCAATGATTGGTAGAAAATCAAACCTCAAGTGTCTTACATCAAAACTTTGGGAAGTTGGAGTCACTGTAGTGAAGACAACTGAATTTGTCCAGGGCAGGACATCCCGATGGGGGCTTGCTTGGTCTTTCTTGCCTATTGTGCAACATAAGTCATCAATTTCCTTGCCGAATAAGAATAACATGTCCTTCATGCTTGAGGTTTAGTATCTAGCAACTGCACTGTCTTAATCTTACATGACTCAATTCTTTTTAAACTAAGGCTTGAAGTAGGTATCACACGAATCGTGATGACTTAGAACCTTTAATTCAAAATTGAGCAATGCTAGCAACACACACTTTCCAAAACTCTATCATTGTACGAATTTACTTTGCAGGGTCTTCAACGCAAGGATGGGGCCATTAATGTGTTGGAAGGTGTCAAGTCTTACTTTTCCTTGCATGGTCTCTCATGCACAATGGACACCTCCTCTTTCACGGTGGATGTAAGGCTATTTTCTCACATACTTATCTAATTTTGCTATGATGGCTGTTAAGTGTGATTGCAATTTTAATAGGTTGTGGCAACAAAAGATGACTGCAATTCAATTTTGAAGAATGAAATGCCCATAATCAATCTATCCACTGATTATCAACCTACAGAGAAGAAGACATCTGATAGATCAAATGTTAATCTCTCTTGTGATAGATCAGGCCTTTGTATATCGGTATGCTTGCAGTTTTTGCCAGCTTGAAAAATAATTTTAATCGGCAGATACATGTTGATCTTAGGTGACTTTCTTTCCAAGCTGCAGGTTTTTCAGCAAATCCCTGGGACACTGTTGGTGAAAGGTTCAGTACAAGATAAGAATAGCCCATTATCAGGTTTTCTCCAAACTGCTTTTTCCATTATTTTAGTAACATTTTAGAGCAGAACTAATTCTACAAATAGGTTTGGAGGAATGTGTTATTACCATGTGTTTGCTGAATTGTTCTTCTTGGCTAAGTGAAACGATTAAGCTTTCGAACATGGGTTTCATCTGCAATAAAAAAAAATGTCAGTTTGATTGTTTTCTAACCTTATTGAAATTCTGTTTTGTGCTCATGCATATTGACTCGCCATTCTGTTTTCACCTTTGTAAACCAGTCCCTGGGATTGATAAATTGATATTTGCAATGGTTAAGTTCAAAAGGCAATGCCTTCTCTGGAATGAGTGAATAAATTATTTGTTGCGTGTTGTTCTCTTTGCAGGAGCATTCTCAGTGATTTTCCGCAAACTGGAAGAAGTGTTACAGAATAAATTTTGTACCCGATCAGTATAGGGTTCTTGATTATTTGATTTATCATTTGGAGTGGTGACTGAATATGTTACATGATTCTGAGTTGTTCACAAGTGTGCTAATTTCCGGGGTCAGTATTTATAGAAATCAAGTGAAGGTGTTGGTGTAAAAAAAGGAATTAGAAGGCAACAATAATTTCTGGAGCACTGTTGCTCCAGAAATTTTGTATGGTACTAACTACTAAACCTTAAGTGAACATTTTTAGTTGGTCTGAGAATTGTACTTAACAGGATTTGCATTTTAAAATGTCAAACGTATCTTCATTTTCAATAACCTATATGCCAGTTGATACTTTTATGCATAATCACTCTTTTTATTTATTTATGAAATGTCGGTCAATTTCAATGTGCTAAACATGATTACATATAATATTGATGACTGATTTATTGTCAAAAAATAGTTTTATAGGGCATTCACACTGGATACTCAAATTTTCGAGCAATTGTTTCATTTATAATAGTTCACAAATTTCTAGTGTCATAACCGGCAATTTTGCTTCTATGTTTGATCATGCTACTTCACTTTGTTTTTTATTCCTCCAAATAGTACAATAATTTGAAGTAGATCTTTTATAAATCATCGAACTTACATAATCAGCATTAGCGTAATCCTTTATAATTAAACTTTTACTTCTTTTAAATAAGAGTCCTCGCTTATAGGTTTGCATTTTGGCTATCCTATTTGTGGCAAGAGGTCAAGCACGTAATCTTTTAGCGATAAAAATGCTTTTATTTGAATGAGTTATCTTAATTTTCAAGAAATACTCGAGTTCCCTAATATCCTTCTCAACTATGTTGATAATTTTTTTGAGGAATTGTTTATTAGTCAAATAATTTTATGTAATAATAATATTGTCAATATTAGAGATGATCGCGATGTAATTTGAGCGGTTTTAATATAAAAAGTCATTCGAACCGCAAGAGAAAAATGTGTGGTTCAGTTAGTTTTTAGAAATAAATTCGAACTAAATTAATGGAGAAATTAATTCGTCACCCCCCATATTATACATGACACCCTCAAATAGCATGAAAAGACTAAATTGTTCAGACTCAAATTATTCATCACAAATTCCAAATTTATGTGACCAATAGGATTTTTCAAACTTTTGAGCGATATCGGAAATTTCAAAGACGATATCGAAAATTTCGCGAACAAGTAAATTTACAGTAGATTTCTGAAATTTCTTGTAATTTTAAAATATCCGATATTTTTGTACTAGAAATTTCAAAATATCTTATATTTTCATTTACCATTTATACCTGAAACTTTGAAATATTCGCTACGTCATAGAATACCGAAATTTTTGAAATTTTCGGTGGTTCAATTTTTTGTTTGTTTTGAAAAATACCGGAAATTTAGAAATTTTCGATAATTTATATTTTTCTTATTTTGCAGTGAGGACCAGAGGCATAAATGGTTCTATTGTTGGAAGAATCACTGATAAGGTGATGCTGAAGCCCAGGATGACGAGGCGCAGACTTCAAAGCTACGAGCTGAACACCGTCCTCCGACCAGTTCTCACCGAAAACAAATGGCTAAGCAGCAGACGCAGTTTCGCGCACCCTGCTATCAGGTTATTAGAGTATCCACTGTTGAGGAGGTACAAACTTTTGCAGAGGAGGTACATGTTCCTATTGAGGAGGTACATGCTTCTGTTCCTAGTTGAGGAGCACATTGCGGAGCCTGTGGTGTAGGAGGCTGAGCAGAAGGTTGTTGCTGAGCGACTTGATGAGGTGTCTCCCGCTGATACAGACACCACGACTCGTGCGTCTACAGAGCCATCAGTACACATTGATGGAGGTTTCCCTGGAGGACCTTTAGACAGGTCCATGCTGACAGGATTTACGGGTCATATCCCTTATAAGATATGGCATGGCGAGGTATATATATTTTGTTTTATTTAATTGCATAATTTTTATTTTTGCTTATAAGATTTGATGTATAATAATTTGTTTTTGCTTCTTACTGGAGTGTTTGGTGTTGAAGGCTGCTTCTCATGGTTCGAAGTTGAAGAACTTCCATGAGAGTCCCATGCACGAGGAAGTGAGGAGGATCGCTAGAGAGTTCCATCTTCTGGAGTTTGTTGATTTCTCCTTGACCATGTTGGACACCTCCCTGTTATCAATTTTTATTGAGAGGTGGCACCCAGAGACATCATCCTTTCATCTTTCATTTGGGGAGATGACGGTGACTTAGATGATGTGGATGCCCTCTTTCTTATGACCATACTCTTTTGCAGATATTTACCTTACCTGTTATAAGTAATTTTTACAGGTACCTATTGGGGATGAGTAAAATTGTCATCCCTACATAATACCATGCATAAAAATGTTTCAATATATTTCAAAATTATGATTGCAATACTAAAAATAACTTTGTTAAATAAAAATAAATCTAAACTTAATTAACCTCATACTAATATACTAATAAAGTAAAAATAATTTTAAATATTATTATTTATAGTCTTATATTTAGGAATGTAATTTAATATAAAATAGTTTACATTTAAATATATTTATGTCAAAATGAGTTCAACAATAAATTTTAATGTAAAAATCTCTTTTAGATTAAAAATATAGAATCTTTTATTTCAATATCTATTTTTTTCCAAGTTATATTCTAAAATACCTAATTTTCCCTCATTATCCCAAACTACCAAACTATCATAAAAAAAATGAGTTAGTTAAGTCAATTGGCGCTTGCTCCTATATTTAAATAGGAGACACCAATTGAAATGACGAAAATAATGTTAAAATTAATTCAATAACAATTAATCACATATACATATTTTATATATTATATCATATACTTTAGTGCAAAATAGAATAAATAAATATGAATATGTATATAATTACAGGATCTACGACATGTTAGTATATGAAATATGAGATATCAGGAATACCTAGATCCATAAGATAAAAGTCTTTTAGCAATGATAATTGTAATCCTGAAAGGCAAAAGTGTAGAGACAAATAATCGACACTTCTTGGTTTATGGATATTCCTCAACCGATACTCATAATACCTTAAACACTCTTCAAATAGGAAGAAGAGATAAACTGCTTGTGTACAGTATATTGGGGACTATTGTCTATATATTGGGTGATGGTCAACTAGGATTCCCATTATTTCGAAATGGGACATATTTGAACACATATTCAATCAATTAATTAATTAATTACTAAAAAAAATATAATTAGCCTTTTAAATTTTATTTGACCACTTAATCAATTAAGGATCTTAATTTGATAAATAGATAATATAATGCATATAAATATATTTGGCCACATAATAATTATTAGAATATAATAATTAAATAATATTTAAATATACAATATTCCAACAATCTCCCACTTAGACAATATATCTAAATAATTATATCATAGTATTTTAGGCGTGTATTTGAATGCTATTTATCCTTAAATTTCAACTTTACAATCTGGTCAATCTCATACATTTAATAATGAGACCACCGCAGTTGTCTTCACTGACGTATAACGTGACAGAATCTCGACGACCACCACATAAATGTACTAGATGACATAGATCGATATGGATGGGTGACATATAAGTTTCATACAATATGATCTCTAAATCATGTCTATTTTCAACTGGTCTAACTGAAGTCTTTATTGAGTTCAAACTAAAGTTTGCAAATTTAATATTAGCACAAACGATACAGAAATGGTTATAACAACAATAACATTATAAATATTATTTCTGCAGATAATCTTAACATAAAGTCTGTATCGATATCTAAACAATATTATAAAACATAAATAAGGAATGACTCCCACTAATCTAAGACATCCTTAGTGACAACAATCATATGAAAGACCTTATATGTCAAGTCTTTGATTAGTAAGTCTTTAGCTTAAATTCCATATGCATATATTCTAGTTTCAAAATAATAACTTATAAGTCAGTGGACTTTTAAAACCTATTGTTGATCTTTCAAAGTCTTATATTGAATTATAATTGAACAACATAAATACTTACCTTCATTTATTCTGTATTAAAATGTCTATTCTACATCTAAAATATTAGAGTCAAACTTACTAATGATCTCCTTATTATCAAAACTCCGATTTGTGAGTACAAACTCTTTTGTTCTCTATAATAATTCTCACGGTTGACATTTTTTTCAACAATTTAATTTTGAATTGTTCAAGCATCTACTTAATGATTTTATGTACGTCTTTTCATATATGTATAAAATCATATATAAGATTCTCACAACCAAAGTATAAAAAAAACTTAAATTTCTAAATTTTCAGATTCATTTATTTTGGACAATGATTGAGACTTAATAATCTCCCTTGATAATTGAGACATACTCTAATTTATTCTCTTTCATGTCAGTTTTATTTTAAACTATATATATATATATATATATATATATATATATATATATATATATATATATATATATATATATATATATATATATATATATATATATATATATATATATATATATATATATATATATATATATATATATATATATATATATATATATATATATATATATATATATATATATATATATATATATATATATATATATATATATATATATATATATATATATATATATATATATATATATATATATATATATATATATATATATATATATATATATATATATATATATATATATATATACATATAGATATATATATATATATATAT